GACAGCAAGATATTGCTACTTTTCAGTTCCATATTTTGTGGCGTGGCATATGGTTACTGATCGGCTTCAGTTTTGCTTATCCAGTTTGAAATTCCGGTGTATCTTTTTTTAACACAAATCGCAGAAATTAGAACATCAGTCCCTGATGCTCCACATTAAAGAAGGCAAAGACACTTTTATAAAGTTGTTGTTGACTATAGTGCATCCACTCTCTGGAAAGAAAGAAAAAAAATGGCACTTCACACTAAACCTTGGAGTGCCAAGATGAAGTAATTTTCTGGGTGGTTTCAGTAAATGGGATTTTATAATATGATTTAAAAGCTTAGGTGGTACTTCCAATGCTGGTCAAGGGAGAATGAATATCACAATGATAAAGGCTATTGAATACTCCAGGTTCACTATTAAAATTTTCCTTCCCTTTAAAGGAAATTTAAGAGTAATAACATGAGATACTACTACTATTTTTTGTTTTTTCCAAGTAGGAATTTTTATTTCTTGACATAAAAAATTCTGAATAGAGGACAAATCCAAATGCCCTACCTTATAATGACAGTAAAAAGAAAGAAAGAAAAAAATTCTTTATGAGGTATAAGGATAAAATAAAATGCCACTCTTTGACGGGATTTATTAACAACAAACTTTTAGATTGATTAAAAATATATGAACAATAATCTCACTACTATCATGTGATTGTCTTCACTTTGTATGGAATTTAAATCAAAACAGTAAATCACAAACAGATGAAATGAAGTCCCGACAGAGAATCCAATTCAACGTCCTCATCCACGTTCATTTCACTTTTGTCCTTCAAGTGGTCGAAGTCATTTGCAAATGTTCTCGACTCACAGTTTTTGGATCTATTGTATACTCGGGTTATTGCAACAAAACTCCAAGATTGTGGAATGAAACTGCAACACAATGAAAATATATTTCTTTAAATAACAGATTTTTCCCCCCCAACTACATTCTTGAATATATCTATATATAAATCTCTCTAACACATCGTAATATAGACAGAAAGAAAGAAAAAAGTGTGCATAAATTTTCAAATGCAGGAACTTACATCTAGCTGATCTAGGTAAGAAGTGAAAGAGCCAATAACTATCTCTGAATACCATGAATTTAGGACAAGACAACTGATTGCTTTGAAAAAAAAAGGCAAAGAGTAATGGTTGTAGAAGTGACAAAATATTCCTGATGATTGTGAGAAACAAATACAGAGCTTCCTATTAGTGCCCTGAAACAAAACAAAGTCAAAAGTTCTATTTTCTTTTGAATGGCTTTTCCTATAATGTATCCATTTGAAAATTAACGTACTACTGTCTGAAGGGAAAGCAATAATTATTTTTGCTTTACCTATTCTTACATGCTTGCAAAGTAAGCAAAAAAAACTCTAGAATGAATATTAAAATAAAAAAGGATACCTCTCAACTACAGATTCCTGCATCTGAAATTTGTGCAAAGAAACTATGGCAGAGGGAGTGGATAAGCTCTCTCTGCAGACACAAGCTGCAAAAATTTCATTAGCATCACACAAAAAGGACTCTATGTAACAACTGAAACTAATAAAACTATTTCAAATTCTAGTTTACTTTGTGCAATTCATCCGAGAGATACTGCACCTTGTACATTTTAAAACTTTGTTTTCTTCGCTTCCATCGCACAATTCCAAAAATATACAAGGAAAGCAAGCTATGTGAAGAACAACCTAACAACCAAAAAACCAGCTCTTCATGGCATTATTTTGGTTGTATCAGGAACACCACCAACCAAAGTCAAGAATTAATGTAAAGACGTACATTATGGACCATTGCTGTAATTTACAAGATACCAAATTCAATCCTTAACACTTAAGATTTCAGTCTTTTAAAATTTTGTTTCTGCTCACTACTCTGACTCTCTCCTCATGCTTGCTGTCATCAATCATTCACTTTATCCCCTCTCCCTCTCCATCTTTGTCTTCTACCCCCCGCCCCCTCTCTCTCTCTGCTTCCCTCCCTCCGTCCCTCCCTCTCCATCTCTCTCTCTCTCACTCTCTCTCCCTCTTCCATTCTTTCTCTCCATCTCCCTTTCTCTCTTCTCTCTTCTCTCTTCTCTCTCTCTCTCTCCCTCTCCCTCACCCTTTCTTTCTCTCTCCCTCACCCTTTCTTTCTCTCTCCCTCTCCCATTCTTTCTTTCACCCTCTCACTCACTCTCTCTCCCCCTCTCACTCACTCACTCTCTCTCTCTCTTTCAGGTTTAAGCAAAAGTCAGCCTACAGAAAAGGAGTTCTAAAACCTTCATACCAATTTTTTTCATTCTCAACATTCATCTTATTTACTGTTTTATTGTACGTACATTCTGTGATTTCTCTTTTATTATTCATAAATCTATGTGTCAAATTCACTACAAGGATAAATAATGATGATAATAATAATAATAATGAACAAAGTAATTAACAAGAAATTTATAATATATAAGTACAGACCATAAAATCAAAAATATAAATATGCATCAATTAAAAAACCTTTAAAAAAATACTGAAGATTGGAAAATTGTTATCTGAATTAATATATTAATTATGTAAAACTATTTCTATCTTCCTACCTACTTATTTCTATCTTTTGACCTGGGAACATCACTTGAAAAAAGAAAAGAAAAAATTTGTACGACATCACCGAGTTCCCCTGCGAGTGTCCCTCATCTCTATCCCTCCCATGGAAATGCATTGCTGTCACTGCCTTGGAGCTGAAATGACCTTCTACCTTGTGGTTTCCTCAATTCATAATGTTACATCTATTTTCATTGCTAGTGTCCCACTGCCTACACACTACAGTCTCTTTTACGTAAAAAAGGATCTGGTGGTCAAACAGTCAAAATTAACCACTGGACCTAAGAAGCAAAAAATGTATCAAAACTATATGGTAATATCAAATGTCACTATGTATATAAAAAATCTACCCATTACGCAAATATGTCTGACTCGAACGTCAAATTCAGAGATAATCTTTGAAAGTTGCTTGGATGGAATGAGATGCGTTTAAAAAAAATGAGAAACCAGTCTAATCCATCTCTACTGAAGACCTGCAGAAGACACAGACTTAAATACACCAATTCTGTGCTTTTAAGGCAAACAAAGAATCCTACTGCATGGAAATTTTTGACCAGAGGATGCAATTTAAACAATTTTTTCTTTATATAAAATAAGTCTGGGTGATTAAACATGAGCATCTTTAACCCCTACTTGATGAGGTTAATAAGGAATATACAAATTACATTGAAGTTCATAAAAACAGAAAAGCACATCATTAGCACATTCCTGAAATTACTTATGCACAAAGACAACACAAAGACAAACATAAAATTAAACACTGATAAACCATCCTCAATAAGTTTGTGCTTTCTCATAACAATGAAAATTGTTCTTTCAAAAATGCTATGGTTTATTTGACATGATTACAATACTGTCTTTTCAATACTGTTCAGACCTGTTGTCTAAAAAAAGTGCACACCATAAGTAAAAAATTAATTACACTTTATGCGTCATATGATTTGCATTCACAATTCAACTTTATGTATTTCTCAAACCTGCTGATAGAAATGCTTTTTATATAAATTCTCTATATAAATTTTCTAAAGTAAACAAAAATATGAGATTGATAATTCATACAAAAACCATGGAACGACCTTTCTATTCCAGGCTGAGAATGAACTTAAAATTATGCAAGCATCCACAAGAGACAGCAGTTGCCACATCTACTGATACCTGGGAGTAGGAAGGAGAGTGGAAGAGCTAAAGGTATGAGGAAAACAGCCCTCTTATCAACTAAATACTGTTTAGGACAAGGTGACCCAAACCTTCCATGTGGCATTGCCTTTGTAGTTCCACTGAAACAAAAGCAGGCCGACCACAGCTCTTCATATCCCTCATATTCCCTCAGTGCCTCTTGCTCTGCCACACATATTTGTCTTTAATAAGTCCTTGTTCTCATGAGAACCGAGAACCACTACTGACTGAAAACTGCAAGTTGCAAAGGAGAAATAGAGGATAAAACAATCAAGTAGGAAAGTTTGCTCCCCAAATTCCTTCCCCTTAAGGTTCTCGAAAGTGATGATATTACATCACTGTTCAAGTGTAACTAATTCTTCATAGTAAGTACCATCAGCACCAACCGTAGCTCTTGAAAACAAATACAGTTTGCAAACAGTTAATAGATAAAAAGCTAAGCAGACATAGTTATGGTATTCTTATCATTTCTGTTCAATTAGCAACAGAACAAATAAGTGTATATCACCATGGATAAAAGAGAGCTTCCATAATGTCTGGATTCAATGGCTCTGATTCTATATTATGCTACGAAAATTAAATATATGCAATGTCTTTACTTCAAACTAATGATACTTTGTATCAATGAAAAAAGAAAAAGTACAAAGAAAAGAAATGCTACACAATTTCTCAAGTTGTAAGTTTTCAAGATTAAGCAACAAATACATGAACACAGAACACTAAAGTATGTAAAGTAAAAAAAAATAATAATTTGTTCTTCCCGTTGTTCTGTTCACAATGCTTCCTAGCACCACTAATGACACCTACTGACCCACAGCACTATAGTAGCCCCACCCTGCACACTCATAAAGACCTCCAGTTAGGACTTCTAAAGTGCTCTCTAATATTATGCCTAGAGGACTTAAAACTACATAGATAAATAAAAATTGGTAAAAAGTAGAGAGAAAAACAATGACTATTAGAGACATTGGAAAGGATAAAAGTGTATATATGTATGTGTGTGCATATATAAAAGTATATGTGTAAGTATATATATAAATATAAAAATATATAAATATATATAATTATCTCACATTACCTAGAACACTTTCTTTCCTTTTGCATAAGGATAATCTGTACACAAAAATACAATAAAAACTTGTGCTTAAATCACCACAAGAGATTGGGGAAATAATATGTAAGATTACTTTGGCAGCACTAAAAATGAACATGACACAAAATGATCTTGTTTTCATTTTTTTTTTTTGTTCCTTAAATATTGAACTTGACAATGTTCACACTTCCCAACACATGGATCACCTCAAACATCATGTCAGAGTTTCATACTGAACACTGCTCGAGTGAATCATACACACATGAGGCTGCCTGACTGTTCTTGTGTGCTCACAGTTCAGGCAATACAAATACATTACCATATAAACAAAATAAAACCTTTGGGAAAGACTTGACACACATGACAAACCATCAATCTGTCATCTCCTGATGCAGTATAGAAAGGATACATATAAATAAATATAAAAAGACCATATAAATACACCAGCAAGATACACAGAAGTACATAACTCATAAATTACAAAAGAGGATCGCCCAGTCCTAAGACCAGACAGGTCTAAGGCCACGAAGGTGAGCGCAGTTAGAATCCCCCTGCCCTGAGCTGCTTCAGGTGGTGGTCGTTGAAGACAACACGTGTCCCACAGTACACTGCCACCAACCCTGTCAACGCAGATACTACCATATATGGGAGAGCTGAGCCAGTCAGGTCCACAAGTGGTCCCATAAACACCGACAGGATGATCTGCGCAAGGAAATAGGCCGTATCCAGGACTGCAACATCCGTCCCCAGCCCTTGCTCCTCGCCAAACTCCGAACTGTTGCCGTCCCACATATACAGCTGCCGAGGGAAGGTGAACTTATTACTACACTCCATTATATGCAAAAAGAAATCACACATTCATCTGCACAGCTTTATGTTGCAGAAGGATAGAATATACACAGTATAAAAGGAATAATAGTAAAAGATAAACAATAAGAGGAAAGAGAATAAAGATGAACAGTAAAAAGGAATTAGAATAAAAAAAACATTTGTAAAGTATTAAATAAAAAATAATGGAATAAAATAAAAACAGTATTTAAAAGAAAGAAAAGAAAGAAAAATAAAAGGTCCTTTGATAATAAATGGGAAAATAAAAACAAAAAATTAAAAAATTCTCTTGTGTTTTTGGGAGTGACCAGAGAGCTGCGAAACGAACCGACTCCAGACAAGGCTGTTACAACATTGAGGAAGGGCACTGTGGGTGCAGCAATAGTTGCCGTCATGGTGATTGCGAAGATGAAAAGTCCACCGATGAACACAGCACGGTGACCTAACAAGCGGACGATGTGTTGCTGGATGAAGAAGGCATATAGGCAGGCTAGAAGGCAAGGGAGGAAAAACAAAGGGATTAAATGTGGCATACCAGACATGCTTCTGGAATGAGACATGTGCTATCCACAAATTTGTAGTGGCCTGCATATCATTTACCTAGATTACTGAGATTCCAATCTTAATCCCAAAGTGAATATACACATACACTTAAGAGGGAAGATTGCAATATGAGAGAAAATTTCCTTTGCATGTAAGTGCATGAATGTATGACATGTTTCATTGCTTCTCATCAGGTAAGAACAATAAAATCTGCTTTGAACAACAAATGTCTGACACCCACCTGTAAGGCTATGCAGGAAGAGGCCCCAGGACCCCATTCTGACCCCCTCATCATACAATACTGCTAGTTCTGTGTGCTCCTGGGCATCGGGCAGCCCACCATACATGTACTGGCCCACAAAGTCCGTGAAAAACATGTTGTGGCACATGAACCCCATCCAGCCAAAAAGCTCAGCCAGGAACAGCCTCCGAAGCACTGTGGGGGCACTGCTCACCTTGTGCCAAGTGCCCATTGGTAGTTTGATGATCTGCAGAAAGATATGGTCACAGTAAGCCATGCTGGAAAGTGTAAACTTACAGGCTGAATCAGCTGTTGTTAGGAGTTCAAGTTCATTCCACTACAATATGTATGAAAACTGAGCTTCAGGATATCATCTATTTAAACTGACTGTATATCACGTTCATCTAGACAAAGGCTGCTAACATTATTTTAGGGTTTTCAGGGTCTTGTGCATATATATGTGTTTGGATGCGTTATAAGTTCCTAGAGAGCATGTGTGGATACTCGACCACTGCCTGACTTTCCTTGTACCTCTAAATAGAATCAGTGTCTGATGACCGCACTGAGAAAAATGTAAAACTAACCTCAACTGTGGAAGGTTATGGTCTACCATAGCCTCACCCAAAGCCAACATTCTGTTACACTGACCTACTTTTTTCATAAGGAAATGCATAAGTAATAGTTTTCTTACAAATGGGGAAAAAATGCTATTGTGAGGGCTGCAATGGACCCTTTAACTGGCTATGGAAGGCTTAATATGCAAGAAAATTATCCCAATTCAAGTGTTGTATTAGCTAAGTCTTGACTTAGAAATTACACTCCAATAAACCTTTGTGGAAATGTGTTTGGCTGATTTTTTACCAATCTATATATAAAAAAAACTACAATCCCTTCATTCACGAATTTTTTCATATCATCAAACATCATTAAATGTGATTTACTCTAACATATAGTGAGCAACACCAAATACAAAAATTACCCTCATCACTGAATAGGAATGCCTGGTGGACATACCGAAAACATTACAGGACCTATTCATCATGAACAACTGATGTACATTAAAAAAAATAACTTCAATCAGTTGCACACTGACAGCACTGCAAGAACAACTTCAGCTCACTGACCTGATAAGGTAAAAATACAAGAATCTTCATCATCTTCCAGAGAAATCTCAGGCAGCCATTGATGAGCCTCTGGATGGTGATCTTGGGCAGCCGCTGAATTTGGTGCACAAGGCGATGGTACCTCCACTTGAGCATCTCAGAAGAGGAGAGCGTGAGTGGTGCCGTCTCGTCTGTCTCGCTGGAGCCGCTCTCGTAGCCTCCATCCGAGGGGTGGTCCTTGACGATGGCTGTGCCGTCGTGAGTTAGATCCAGCATGGTCACGCCCTCTTCTACAACTACTGGGTCGAGTTTCTTGGCCAGCAGCAACTCTTTCTCTGATGCCAAGTCCTTCCTCAGCAGTTCCCCCTCCTTGGGATGCACTGACAGCACCAATGCCCTCTTCAGTGGCTTCTCCTTGGCAAACACCAGTGTAAGGAACATGCATGGCAGGAACATAATGAAGATGACGGTGAAGGCAGTCTGCTCCTGTGAGCCAATGAGAAGGCCCACTGACAGCCAGTCAATGGACACGATGAGGTAGCCCAGGATGCAGCCCAGGGAAATGCTAGCCGAATAGACTGTGAAGCCCTGCGTCTGCTCCCATTCAGGTGCTGTGGCCATTAGGTCTGACAACAGGGCCTCACACGGGTTGAACAGAGCCTGGTAGCTATAATCGAGCAGGATCACACCCAGTGCTAGGATTATCATACTGCAATGCAAAGGGAAAGATGGTCATCAGATGCTTGAACAGCATTTGGGGAGAATTGTGTGTGTGGACTGGGCAGAGAAGGAAAGGATGGGGAGGGACAGGGACCTTAAGGACAGGTAGGGAAAAGAAAGGAAAGTGATTGAAAGAGAATGAAAGAGAATGGATAGAGAAATGGAGGAGAGGAAAGAGAAGGTGAAGGAAAAGAAGGGGAGCGAAGCAAATAGGGCAGGGAAGGGAAATTAAGGATAGGAAAATGAATCCCTTAAACCTGGATGATGCTGTGGTCACATCAAGGAAAAACTTTGGCAGCAGCCCGGGTGATGTGAAGATGCCGTCAACCGTGCAAATGGACTACAGCCCGGGTGACATGAACAAACTGTCAAGAGTGAAAGCCAGGGTGACAGAAGAGACTCGCCATGAGTGCACAAACCTCTTGGAGTGTGATTTGACTCATTTGGCACTTAGAAGGGGGCTTTAGTATTATTCCCATCGATAAACGAATGAGGAATGTAACATGCATAAGCAGTGACTGGAAGAGCGCTGGCTCCTGGGAGGATGCCATTTCCATCCATGTACTCCTGGCTGTTATGACCGTTAGTACAGGTTGTATTACGTAAAATTTAAAATTACAAACAAATGAGATATATGACGCAAATAACTGAATGTTCTATATTTTTTTTCTTGCACTGAGCTATTTACAACATCGAGAGATATGGAGTCTGTGCAAGGAAAATAAGTAATTACCATCTGGATAAAGCAAATCAAAAGACAAATATGGTCATTGGAAAATGCCGATAAAGCTAAAAAGGTTTACACAAAATAACTTTTCTTACTTGATTCTTCCTGAGTGCTCGCCGCTGACGATGGAGGTGATGATCTGGCCGTAGGGGATGAGGATGAGGGAGAAGAGCAGCACCGTGGCCAAGGACATGATAAAGGGTCGACGTCGCCCTAGCACGGACATGCACCGGTCGCTCCACTCGGCCAGGAGGGGCACCGTCATCATGTCCAGAAACGGAGCTGTGAGATGAGAAAGGGGGGTTAGAGTCCTACCTTATACTTTTTTCATAGCACTAAAAGTAATAACACTAATAATACTACAACTAATAAGAATAACAATAACAAAGACAAAGACAATAACTGACAATGACAGAGAAAATAAAAATGACAATAACAATGATAAGAATAAGAACAGACAATAACACTAATAAGAATAAGAACAATCATAATCATCATCATTATCATCACTAAAAGGGGGTGTATACCAATGAAAGAACTTATATGCTGTCAATATCAGCCCATGTTTCTATAGTCGGCACTTATCCACCTGTCTCACGGGGCACTGCCATGATTTTCACAGATATGTACTTTTCTTCTAGCAATTCTTTCTCTGGTGCAACCGTCACAAAAGAAATCAACTACAAAAAAAACAACTGGCGCACACAAGAAAAATTTAGTCATTTTTAGGAATTCCTTGAGGTAATTAAAATCAAGCTTCCATCACGTCAGAACCTTATCAGCTCCTCTTCGGCTTGGAATTTCAAATCATTGGCCACGTCACTGAAAGGGATTGTGAGTTCCATGCACGAAAGGGTCAACACTTTCGTGCATGTGGCAACCATTGTTTTTCGTTTATTTGTTTAACTGTTTGGCCTCACAAGCACTTAACAATAATAAAAATAACAAAATTGATGATAATGATGATGTAATGACAATGATGATGATGATAATGCTGATTGATAATGATGATGATGATGATAACAATAACAATCATAATAATATCAATAATAATAATAATAATAATAATAATAATAATAATAGTAATAATAATAATAAAATAATAATAAAAATAAAATAATAATAATCATAATAATACTAATAACAACAATAACAACAATAACAACAATAAAAAAAATAATAAAACTAATGAAAATAATAATAATTATTATTATAATAAAAATAATAACAATGATAAAAATAACAATAAAAATAATAACAACAACAATAACAATAATAACAGTAATGATATTATTAATAAGAATAACAACAACCATAATCGTAAAATCAAATCGGAAGAGATTCGGCAGAGTTCAGGAGAGTGAGTTTGGGTCACTTCCAACGTCACTTTGGCTAAGCCTATTAGGGACGGCAGGGGGCTCGTCATCCGTCTTGAGTGTCAGTTTCTACCTTATTACTTCTTTCTTTGTTATGATATATTTTCAGCTTGGAAACAAGACGGAAAACAAATTCAGATACAAAAATTAAGGATATTATAAACATACTTATATCATGTATGCACACGTACGCACAAATGCACGCACACACCCATGCGCACACGCACACGCGCACACACACACACACACACACACACACACACACACACACACCACACACACACACACACACACACAAAGACAGACACACACACACACATAGACACACAGACACAGACACACACACACACACATACACACACACAAAAAAAAAAATGTATTTGTATTGTGTATGTATATGTTTAGAGATACATATGTATATACATGCATATATACATACATATATTTATGCATGTATACACAAATATAACTACAATAGCAAATAATTATAACAATAGTGCTTCATGCAAACAAAATCAACAGACAAAGCATGTGAACCCCTTCCCAAAATCCGTTCCTGATGCGTCTTCGCAAATCCTGAAAAATGATTTTTTTGGCACTAATAATTACCAAGCACTGACGTAAGTGAACTTTTTGAGGCAAGTGTAGATAACATAATCTGACAGGTTAATAGTCCAGAGACATGTCATTATGAAAACATCATCTGTCTTCCTTAATTTTATGGATGGGATTGTGGCAACACCTGCATTCTTAACATAGAATTATTATTACACTGCCAAAAAAATACTAATACGTCCACTCAGAAACTAATTATCATGACTGTAATTACCACTTTGACTAATCTATAATATAATAATTATAAAAAATTATCATAAATAATAGGTAAATAATTAGAATTTTGTAATCTCTGTCATAAGGTTACTGTTCATTTGCATTTACACTGCCTGTTTTATCTTATTGGTCTTTAAGTTCATAAGAAACTTGTCATGAGCCTCAAGCGATACTTTAGACAACAACAAGAATTAAACAGTCAGCTAACTCCCTCTGCAGGAGTTTAATCCTTCCCTATATAACAGGACTCCATTGAGGGAGTCAAGAGTTGTCCCTCAAAAAGGATGCCTTCCCACTCCACACGCTCCGCCTGGCAATCAAGTCCCATATAGCAAACGGGACCCACTTCCACTTCCCTTCTCCTCCCCTTGAGAATTAAGAGTCCTTCATTGCACACTGGTCCACCTCATACCTCATCCACTGTCCCTGAAGGACTCTCTCCTGTGTGACTCCCTTCCTGAAGGACTCCCTCCTTGCAGGGCTAGACCCTGTGACTCACCTACTCCCAAGATGATTGTCATGACGGTCTCCGTGTATCCAGCCTTGAGAAGCAGAGGAGGGATGTAAGTGAAAGCTGCGCTCGACACAATTTCCACGCCACAGACGAGTGCGTTGATCGCCATGAGCTTTGGGAGTCCTCTGGGGCGGGCCGAGCGGGCCACCCCAGACCCCCTGCCACGTCCCTGGCCGCCATGCCTTGCTTCTACGGGACTCTGGGACTTCTCAGGCAGTGGACCAGGGAGGTCCATCAAGTCCTGGGGCGGCAACGGCCACCACTGCTACCTCTGCAACTACACCTCTGGCTCACTCGCTCCTTCTGGCCGCTTGTCCTTCCGTCTGTCTCAGTTGAAGTGATGCTGGGCATTCGCTCTTATGTGTCTCATTGCCTCATCATTCTGGAAGAAGAGAAATGCTGTAGCCTCCTGTGTTACTCTTGTACAAATGATGATGATTATAATAATGACAGAAATAACTTAACAGCATTTATAATGATAATGATGATAATAGTGGTAATGATGACAATGATGATAATGATAAAAATAATAATAACAATAACAAAATAAAAATAATGATAATAATAATAACAATAAAAAATATTCATGATAATGGTACTACTAAAAACAATAATAATAATAATATATAATAAACAGTTGATTTCCTGAAGTTGTTATTAAGCAAAGCTGTCACACACAAACATAAATATTTGTAACATTTTGAAAACTATACCCTCACTCTTCCTCTCTCCCTCCCTCACTCTCATTCTCCCTCTCCCTAATTATCTCACACACTCTCTCTATCTCTCTCTCTCTCAGTCAGTCTATCTCTGTCTATCTGTCAGTCAGTCTCTCGCCACATTAGCACCACAAACCCCAACCAAATACCCGATCACCAAGCACTAACCTCAAGCCACAATATTTAACCTCTAAACATAAACCACAATCTCCAACCACAACATTTAACCACAACCACAATCTCTAATCACAACCACACACACTAACTACATACCACTAACTCCTATCAAAACATAACCTCCAACCACAACATTTAACCACAACCACAACCACAACCTCTAATCACAACCACTCACACTAACCTTCAACCACAAACCACAACCACCATCCCCTCCCCCCCAGCTCTCCTTTCCCCGCCCCACCCCTGCAGTCTTCCCAGCGTCACCCCTCTCAGCAGGCCACTCCTGACACCGAAGTCGAGTGTCACCGTGCCAATGCAGCTGTCACTCGCTATCTCAAGTGCAAGAAAACTTTTATGGCCCTTTCTTTTTTTATCCCGCTAAGGCAATAGAACAGGGCGGTGATAAGATAAAAACATTGATTCTTTTTCATCCAAAGACAGCGTTAGGGAAGATTTGTCACTGATGATGGTGATGATTGTGATGAGGTTCATGATGGTGATGATTGTGATGAGGTTCATGATGGTGGTGATGGTGATGCTGATTATAGTGAGGCTGATAATTAGGTGGTGATGAAAATGATGATGGTGATGTTTATGGTGATGGTGATGAAAATGAAAGAAAAAAAAAAAAGAATAAGAAAAAGAAAAAACAAGAAAGAAAAACAAGAAAAAAACGAAAATAAAGAAAGAAAATAAAAATAAAACAAGAACAAAAGAAAGAAACCAAGCAGTGTGTTCTCCCACACCCCTCTCTCTCCCCCCCGCTCCCCCCCCTCTCTCTCTCCCTCCCCTCTCCTCCCTCTCCCTCTCCTCCTCCCTTCTCTCTCACCCTCCTCTCCTCCCTCCCTCTCCCTCCTCCTCCCTCTCCTCCTCATCGCTCCCGCCTCTGCCCCTCCTCCCTCCCTCTCTCCCTCTCGCCTCTCCTTCCCTCCTCCCTCCCTCTCGCTCTCCTCCCTCCCTCCCTCCCTCCGCTTCCTTCCCTCCCTCCCTCCCCCCTTCCCCCTCCTCTCCTCCCACGCACCCACCCTCCCTCTCCCTCTCCCTCTCCTTCGCTCCCTCCCCTCCTCTCTTCCTCTCTCCCTTCCCTCCCCACTTCCTCCTTCTCCTTCCTCCCTCACCTCTCCCTCTCCTTCCCTCCACCCTCCTCCTCTCCCTCTCCTCCCTCCTCCCTCCCTCCCTCCTCTCCCTCCTCCTCCTCTCTTCTCCTCTCTCCTCTTTCCTCCCTCCCTCCCCCTCTTCCTCCCTTCCCTCCCTTCCTTCCTCCTTCTGCCTGGTCCCCCTCCCTCCTCTCCTTCCTTCCCTCCCCCCTCTCCCCTCTCCTTCCTTCCTTCCCTCCCGTCTCCCCTCTCCCTTCCGGCTCCCTCCCTCTCCCTCTCTCCTCTCTCTCCTTTCGCTCCCCTCTCCTCTCTCTCCTCTCCCTTCCTCCCCTCCCCTCTCTCTCTCTGCTCTCTCTTTCTCCCCTCCCTCGTCTCTCTCTCCCTCTCCTCCTTCCCCCCCTCCCTCTCTCCTCTCCCCTCCTCCCCTCCCTCGTCTCTCTCTCTCTCTCCTTCCCTCCCTCCTCTCTCTCCTCTCTCTCCTCTCCTCCCCCCCTCTCTCTCTCTCTCTCTCCTTCCTCCCTCCCTCTCCTCTCTCTCTCCTTCCTCCCCTCCCCTCTCTCTCTCTCTCTCCTATCTCCTCTCGCTCCTCTCTCTCTCTCTCTCTTCATCCCTCTCCCGCTCTCTCCTCCCTCTCCCCCTCTCCTCCCGACCGCGTCTTCCGTGACATATTGAGTTGCCTTCCCGCCAACACTCCGCGAGCCGCCGTCGCTGCCCGGCTTCAAGGAGGCACCGTTTTTTCACCTTTTCGTTCTATTTTATGTATGCTAATTATGTTTTTCATCTAATGTTCTGTGTTTCATATTTATTCTATTTTTTTTTCTATTTTCTATTATATATTCTATTCTATATCTTTTATTTTATCTTTTGTCTTATATTCCTATATTTCATCTTATTATTGCGGGGGAGATGCGTATGTTGGAAGGGGGAGGAGAGGAGGGGAGGGAGGAGGGAGAGGGAGGGAGGGAGGGAGGAGGGAGGGAGGGAGAGGGAGGGAGGGAGAGAGGGAGAGAGGGATAGGGAGGTGAGGGAGAGGGAGAGGGAGAGGATAGATTAGATAGAGAGAGGGATAGAGGAGAGGAGAGAGAGAGCAGGAGAGAGAGAGAGAGAAGAGAGAGAGAGAGAGAGAGAGAGAGAAGAGAGAGAGAGAGAAGAAGAGAGAGAGAGAGAGAGAGAGAGAACTGATGAAGAGAGAGAGAGATAGGAGAGAGTAGAGAGAGAGAGAGAGAGAGAGAGAGAGAGAGAGAGAGAGAGATAGAGAGAGAGAGAGTAAAAGAGAGAGAGAGAGAGAGAGAAGAGAGAGAGAGAGGAGAGAGAGAGAGAGGAGAAGAGAGAGAGGAGAGAGAGAGAGAGAGAGAATAAGAAGAGAGAGAGAGAGAGAGAGAGAGAGAGAGAGAGAGAGAGAAGAAGAGAGAGAGAGAGAGAGAGAGAGAGAGAGAGAGAGAATAGGAGAGAGAGAGAGAGAAGAGAGACAGAGAGAGAAGAGAGAGAGAGAAGAGAGAGAGAGAGAGAGAGAGAGAGAGAGAGAGAGAGAGAGAGAGAGAGAGAGTAGAGAGAGAGAGAGAAAATAAGAGAGAGAGAGAGAGAGAAGAGAGAGAGAGAGCAGAAGACGAGAGAGAGAGAGAGAGAGAGGGAGGAGAGAGAGAGACTCGAGACCGAGACTGAGAGATACTAGGACAGGAAGAGAGCGAGATACAGAGCGAAGAAATAAAGAGAGCCTGAAAGGAGATCAGACAATAAGAGTGAGAGCGCAGAGAGGACTAAGAGACAGAATAA